TAACCACTAGTTTGTCAGCTACCGAAGTTCATTAATAATCATCTATCTAATGCAGGTTGAAATGCAAAAGGCAACTACCATACTTCACTTCATGATCTTTAGGTTTCTAGTGAAATTCAAGAGGCAACAATAAATAGCAGCTGATTTATTACAAAACCAGAAATTCCACAAGATAAGGAGAACGAATAGTAATACAATATGGAAATGCGAATTAACCCTGAAGTAAAGTTACAATAAAACATGGAGACCAGAAATGCATAACACATTCACATAGTTTTCTAGGAAGACAAGCCCCTAATTAGAGTCAAACAATCTCAGATGCAGTAGGCTTATCCCATACTAACATGTACCTTATAACATCTGTTAGAAGTACCATGTATTCTCATGAGCTCTACTATTCTACAAGGGACTCTATCCTGAAATCCCAGCAAAATGAGCAGAAACAAGCTCCAAAATTGGGGATGAAAGAGTAGAGCTTGAGATCAGATAGGTTCTGGAGAAGGGCTTACAAATTTTTTGAAAAAAAGGCGCCTTAGTGGAGAGTTTCAGCATTTTCTGTTTTTTTTTTCAATATGTTTCCAATCATTACGATGTCGTTATGGTGTCTTCTTTTCTTTTTAATGACCATTCCTATTGCATGTCATATTAAGATTGTATTATGACATTTTTCTAAAAGTGTCAAGATGTGTCATTAAAGACTATTTTTGTAGTAGTTTCCCTATGTTTATGTTTGGTTTATTGACCGAGTATTATTGCTTTGTTTGTCTTTCCCATGCAATTACATTGTGTACCTTGGAAGAAGGATTGAGTCTTGAACGGTAAGATTAGAGAAATTATAAATAGGAGGTTTTCAAAATTTAAAACTTTCTACTTACAAAAAATAAATGTTGTGCACCGTTTCTTTTAAAACTTTTCTTACATCAACTCTTTTTAATTTATAATCTGCATCAAATGTGCCCATTTGCTTATTTGGCACTCAAATTATCTTATGGCCATTGATCATAGTTAAATACGCTTCATCTGCTTCTCATTTGTTGGGTCTCTGCTAGAGACAGACTTCAAAGCTCATTGGTCATAATTACGTTTCTTATTGCTTATATATTTTGACCTAACTTTCTTGTACTTTATTTCACTGCTGCTCACTTTTCATCTTCTCTTTCGTTATTCTGTATCTCCCGGTTGGTAAGCTGCTGTTTTCTGATTCTTACTTTTATCTGTAAGAATCTTTTTGTTTTGCTTTATACTTGTTTTATATTTAGTTTCATGATTTGTATACTACTAAAATTTATACTTTTGTTCAGTGGCGGAGCCAGAAAAAATTTTCAGTAGGGACAAAAGCAATACTAAAATTTTTTACTTACTCTTTTTAGTTTTTTAAGTAAAAAAATATTCACCAACAAGTTAAAATGAAAAAGACTTATTTGAACTTACTTCAAATGAAATTTTGTGACTCACATATTCTTTTAGAATATTAGTTCATGAATCAATTTAAAAAATCACATAATTCTTTCACTTATTTCATAAAAAAAACTCTGAAAACACACTTAAAATTATATCAAAATTCTATGGATATTATAGAAATTTAAAGGGAGCAGGGAGGCCCGTGCCCCCACCTTAAATCTGCCACTGCTTTTTGTTGCATTAGTGACTTATTTCTTCTTCTTCTTTTTTGACTGCTATTACCTGATCAGAGATGCATATATAGCCTATGATTATCCGCCCTTATTTATTTCTTCTGTTTATGATCATGCATTTATGTCTCCTTTCTCAGTCTTTTTCTCCTGACAAAATTCTCACCTTTTACTTCATGTTGCAATGTTGTATCGCAATTTTTGCCCTTAATTCCTTCGTCTATCTATTTGTTTACAGTACTCCCTTGCTTTGTATTCGATATAACCGTCGCTTTCCCGCGCCTTTCTTCCTAACTGCATTTTCTTGTTTGACTGCCAAATAGAGTTCGACCATCATATCTGACAACCTTTGCTAGTCTTTCATGTGTCCTGCTTTACATAAGGAAACAAAAATATTGAGTATGCATATTCCCCACCTCTTCCTTTAACTTTTATGAATGCTCGCATTTTCATGAACACCTTGCTTTGTTTCCATTTTTGTTTTTAATTTCAAAACATGTTTCCAGTAGCATTTAAGCCTTTTCACTATGTTGCCATTTTAGTTTTGCAGCCTAAATTTTTTCCTTTTTTTTTCTTTTGGGATTGTATAGGTGGCTATTCATTTCAGTTCTTAAAATCCACTTGATCACCATAAAATACTTACTTATTTACCTTCAGGATTGGAGTTGCCCTGTTACCTAATGAATATGTCTACCATCTGTTTATCGTAGATCACTGATGCATGTGATTGCTTTGTCCTTTCTATTCTTTTTTGGCTTGCATGTATTTGCATGTATGCCTACTTTATATGTAAAAACATATCACCTTATCGTAGTTTATTTTCTAGCAATATATAGTGGGCATTGTTGTTATTCTTGTTTTTTTTCCCTACCTATTTCTCTCTTCTGGATTTATTATGAATGCTTGTACATTTTTATTGAAGTTCCTGTGCCCTCACTGCTACCTTCAATGCTTTATACCTTGTATGTATCACGTAAAAGAAACTCCATATCATTTTATGTCACAATTATTACTTGATATAAGGTTCCTTTATTGCTACTAATGCAAGATTCCTTTCATTGCTTTGTGGCTTATAATGATTAAAAACAAAAAAACTCCATGTGGTATACCTAATACACAGAAAAATCCCTCATGGTTTCAAAATATATAAAACGACACCTCATGTTTTGAACTAAAATTGTAAACTAAAAGAATTCGTTAAACTCACTGGATTCCATTAAGTTACCGTTAAGTTTATCAGATTCCGTTAAGTTTTCTGTAAATTTACCGGATTCTGTTAACTTTAACGAATTGTGTTAGTTTTACAATTTAGTTCAAAACATGAGGTGTCGTTTTGTATGTTTTGAAATCACGGACGGCTTTTTTATGTATTAGGTATATCACATGAGGCTTTTTTGCTTTTAACCCTTTGTATTATCGTAACCACCATTTCTGTTCACCTAATTATTGCTTGAGTATCATATGCAACTATCAATAGCATTGATTATAACATGCATTATCTCGAAAGCGCAAGTTTTGCTCCCAGGATGAATGCTGTATAGAAAGAAAATCGTCGACGACGAGGAGAAAGATATGCTGCAGAGGTAGCCAGACACAAAAAAGAGTCTGTTTCGATCGATGAAGCTCAAAATACTACTAGTATTGATTTAATAAAAAAAGAGTCTGCTTGCTCCTGTTTCCATTTGCCCTGTCATGCCAATTTCTAATACAACAGATGTAGTGCTTCTATCCTTCACCCTTTCACGTATCTTTTTCCCTACGTTTATTATTCAGACAGTGAATAGCAAAATCTTGACTCTGTTAGGCATATAATCTGCCTTCCTGCAAGAAATGATGCAGTCATAGAAAACATTTTCACTTTCACCATCATTTGACATCAATATTCAGTAGCTGTCTTCTCCTATTCATATTGGTAGGTTTTCCATAGCCATCGGACACTCAACTATTGTAATGGATGTTTCCAGTTTCATTTATTCCACCATCAGTATTATAGCTGAAGTTGCAGTGGCCACATTGTCAGCACAACCAAGTATCTTGCTGTCCATTCCAGATTGTGCCTATTATATGAATCAAGTCATGCTAAACGCTTTTATATGAAACCGTCAAGATTTTGTTGTGCAGTCAGAAAGTCCGTTTGGCAGGAAAAAAAAAGATGCCAGATAAACTCTTGCAGCTTTATAAAGCAAACACTCTTAAATCTAGGGAATTTAGACAACGTATCTGAGTTATAATAATATGTTTGCTTTAATTACATCCTTAGGAGTTCGCCATGACAAAGAGCTAAGCAGGAAAAATTATGGCATCTAAACGGGTTGAGTACAGGAACAGATGTATCATTTTGTCAGTCCATAATTAAGGCCTTGTAATGGTGAAAGGCATCAAATCTGCAACTCTATTTCCATGATGCGGAATATGAATTGTAAAATGGAGTGGCTCTCTCAAGCAAGTTCAGAAAGTCTATGGTTTAGCAACTCAAATCTGTTCTTGTGACAACCCCTATTATGTTTTCATTCAGAGATCAAAAGAAATCGAAGACTTTGACAAATACAACAATTTCCTCAAATCTGATCCCGGATAAGATTAACATGTTTTTAACCTCCAATTGGCGTTTCAAATTGTAGCAATTTGGTCAAGAAATGATAACATCAATGGAGACAGTTCAAGGCACGTTGATATCTGCATAAAAGCAGGTGGCAGAAAGATAGTTAAGCAACGTTATGGTTGCTATGACACATTGCAACATCCAATCATATTTGCTTGGAAAAATAATTTTTTTTAAAAAATTTTTTGCATTTTCCGTGAATACATTTTTTAATTATTTTCTTTACCTCACATAAATCAACTCGCTACAGTATTTTTTTCTACAAAAATTCTAAAAGATAGCAATCCAAACAAGACCAAAACTCAAATACTTCAGGAGGCTAATCAAACTTGCTTGAGAGGAAATTTGCTTGCTGTTCATCAACTCTGAATCAAGTACTCCAATTTAACTCTCCCTCGGAACAAGAATTAAAGCAAAGCACAAAGGTAACCACATGCAGCAAAAGGTACCATCCCGTGATGAAAGATTGAGAGCGAGTCCTCAAATTATCCGAAGCGCTAAAATTTTTTGTGACTACCAAAGCTTAAAAGTGTCCACTAAACAAATCACTCGACCTCCTCTTACGCGGTCGTTTTTTCATGCCCAGCCCAACAAAAATGCAAATTCCTTGAACTTCTTACGTCGTCGTTTTCAACGTCTTCAAAACTAAAGGGCAAAAAAATAAAATGAAATAAAAAGAGTTAAAAGCAATCGAAATTCACAAAGAGGGAATTCATTTGAGTGACCAGTAATACTCCACAAAAGCTAGAGAGAGAAACTGAGCAGTGCTGAGGGGGGGAGAGCAACAAGAGAGAGAGGGAGAGAGAATTCCACATTCTCAATCTCTCATTATTGTTTCTTTTATTTAACTTCATTTGTGAATTTTTGATTCGAATTTGTAAATTATTGGTGTAAATTAGAACTGGATTGGATGGCGGAGCAGAAAGGAAGGTGGAACTGGGAGGTGACGGGGTTTGAGCCGCCGAGGAAGTCACCGGAGCGGGAGGATCATTATCAGAGACCTCCGCTGTTGGCTCGGAGGTACTCGATTTCTACGTCTTCATTTTCGACGCATTCTGAGCTCTCCAAGCATGCTCTCAGCTCCAAGCTTTTCAAACTGAAGGATAAAGTCGAGGTCTCACTTTTTTAGTTCAACTTTTTTTGTTTTCGGTTGTTTTTCACGTTCAATAATGGATGAAGATTATGCGAGTTTTAATGCTTTTATGACGATTTGCGGCAATGTACTTGGAAATTTGTGATTTTGTTGCTGTTTTTGTCCATCTAGTGAGTTGTTGTGTTGACAAATTAGTAGTTAACTCCGTTATGCTAGTAGTTATTTCTAGGAGTTCTTGTACCAAAGATGCGTTTTTTTTTTTGGGCTAATTTGGAGGAGAAGTCGTTGAGAATAGAGGTTTTCAGTTTGTAGCAAGAAATTGATTATCTTTTTGATAACAGTGAGGAAAATAAAACTTGTTAGTGGTGGTTTGATACTGAACAGTGTGTGGGCATATAGGATTTGACAACGTTATTAGAATTCTTTCTTATTGAGATGAAGTGTAGGGTGACGATTATCCCAAACAGTGATGGGGCAACTGGGGAAGATTTTAGAGTTCTCTTTAAGGCGCCAAAATGACAACTTTACCTGATTTTAGTTGTGAATTTTAGTTTCAGCATGGCTGCGTAGGCAGCTGGAGATAGTTTAGATGCAAAGGGACTGAGGCAACTGCTTGTGAAATACTTTTACTATTTTTGTTTCATGTAATTTTCATAGCAATGGCTGTAGCCCTGGTAGTCTTAGTAAAGAATTATAGTACCAGCAACCTTGTATAGCATATTGCATTATCAAAACTGGCTGGAGATTGTATACTTGGGAATAGCAGTCACTGGGGAGTTGTAATTCTTTTTTTGCCTTATCTCTTTTGGCTTTCATTTAAAGCTTAAAGGTTGTTGTGAGCTGGGGGTATCCCATTTGTAGATAGTTGCTGCTGAATTTTGCAGGATTGGATGGTTGCCACCTCACTTCAATATGCGATTGTTCATGGTTAAGCCATGAGATGATCTTGGCGGTGGCATATACTTTTTCGGTTAGTTGAAAGGACTGCAATGTTTTTAATAACCATTTCAAGAAAAAATTTGGTAAAAGTTGCTGTATGGTCAGAAGACATTATTTTTCAATCTGGACATGAGTCAGATCTGGCAAAGTTCTACTTGAAATGTAATTGATCTTCATTGTGGTATTTGTTCCAGCAGCAATCTTTAATCTATTTCCTTGCTGGGTGACATAACACAGCCATCTCTTATACTATAGAGAATCTGCACTCCAAATTAAATTGAATGGCCCACTCATTAGGAAGATTACAACTATATGGGTATTCCCTCTCTTTTAGATTTCTGGCGGGTGTTGGATATATCATATATGTAAAGAATCTAACCAAAGAAAGGGAGAGGGAAGAAATTGCTAAAATGTACTGCAGTTCCTATAAGAAAAATACTTTATTAATAATAGAATTTGGTACTAAATTCTGAACTTCTTAAAGGGCAATGCTGTGTTGCAGGATTGACATTCTCTTCAATTTTTTTTTAGATATAGTTGAACATTCAAAGCTTGGCATGGTAATATGGTGAAAAGCATGCATGGGTCCTTTCACAATAGAAATTTCTGTTCTAATTGATTTGCTGGAGTGATAGCTCAAGCAAGGATTGCAAATATCAGAAAACTCCAACAAGAAGAAATAGGAATACCTTTGCACTACTGTAGTTTCAGCTAAGTGATTCCATAATACATTCAGTCTAGTATTCTTAAAGAATGGAAAGCCAAGATCACAGACAAGTCCATACCACTGATAATGAACCAGTAAACATTGGTTATTATTGCGTAATTTTGCAGTTGATACGATACACACTCCACTGATGCATTATTGAGAGATATAGATGTTCTCAGCCTAATAACTTTAGACAATTGTTGTTAGCTTTTTGATCATTATGTCTCATCAACAGATTTTTTTTCCCTTTCTTCTTCTTGAACTTGAATGAGGCTAAACTATACCTTACACCATGAAAAGACTTGTAAAAAAGAATAGAAGGGTGTGGTGAAGGAGTTTGCCCATGGTGGAATAGATGAGTTTGTGACATTTCATTTACTTTTAATGCTTAAAATCTATAAGGTCATACATATCATCTCTATTTTACTGTGTCACACACAAAGATGAGAGAAGAGGTTATTGACCTGGAACAATAGTTTTTAATCATTTTTGTCCAACCCTAGTAGCTGTCGAGAAAATCAACTAAGTCTGTACATACTAGAGAAAATCAACTTCCTGTTGAGGAAGTTGAATATAAGTTGTTGGGCAGTAATGGTTGTGTTGGAAGTCAAATCATCTAACCTGCTATAAGCTTTTGATGACTTGTTTGCAGAAACAACAAATGGAGAATTTTTATGACTGGTGAGAAAGGAAATTCAAAGTAGGAAAATCATACTTCGTTTTTGTTCATAGAAAAACTATAGCAAATTATAACAGAGAAATTCAGAACAAATTATAACACATTGCCAGGTAGGCATGAGTTATATGATTTTTTTTCTGTCAATTTGCCTTATCTAGTTCTCTATAATTGGAAATTTAGGCTATAATGGAATATCTATTTCTTGCAATCTTTGCTTATTTTCCTTTCAGCAAAGAATTTTACTTTTTCTGTGGTTGCAAAAGAATAAAATAGTTTAGATCTGCTTTACAATGTAGACCATATTTGAGCTTGGCAGAAGGAAAAATATAATAGCTCTCTCCTTTGCAATATCAACTTTACCAATTGGAGTTTTAGTATGCATTCAGCTGGAGTTCGACTTGGCAAGACCTGTTAATATTAAGCCAGTAATTTATGGCATGCATTGATGTGGACTAGTACGACATTCTAGTTTGTAATATTTTGGAATTCTGGTTTTTTCTCTTTGTTGGCATTCAAAACAGCATTAAAGACTCTAAGCTAATGCTAGTGTCTGTTACTGCTTGAGGAAGTAATATACCTTCTGTCAGGCTTGGAATTTAGTTAATGAAGTGCATGTTTGAAACAATTATTGGCCTATCTGTGATGTTCTAAAATCTTGCATTTCTGATTGTGTTGTTTCAGCTTGAATATGTTGTTGGCTTCTGCTAATATTCTAATACTTTCTGTTGGCAATCTACATAAACATTTTTGAGCAGCATGTGAGAGAGGATTACATGGAGCTTAGACAAGAAGCCGTTGATCTTCAAGAGTACTCAAATGCAAAAATGGATCGCTTGATGCGATATCTAGGTGTACTTGCTGATAAAACTCGTAAACTAGGTAAATGGTTATTCATAGGCTTTGGCAGGTCTTGTTTCATCTGATTGCATATTTTCTACATCAGAGCTGTAGCTTATCCATTCTTGTTTGCCTGCATATCTTCGTGGGTGATTTGGTTTCTTAATCATGAATTATTTTCAGATCAGGCTGCGGTTGAAATGGAAGCTAGAATGTCTCCTCTGATATATGAGAAGAAAAAATTGTTTAATGACTTATTGACTGGCTAAAGGTAGGATTTTGAGTGGCCTCTGGACTCCTTTTGTCACTGACGCCTATGCACAAAATCAGGGGAAGATGGGAGAAAATGATAAATACAGAGAGAGTGGCACAAACATGCACACGCGTGCACAAACAATTTCGTCCCCTGTGGGTACATATGAACAACAAAAAAAGCGAAAAATGGGAAAAAGACAGAAAATGAGAGAAGTGTTTTACTAAATTGATGTGAGATTTGGGCTGGATGTACTGTTTCAGGAAGCATTAAGGTATTTTGTCGTGCAGACTCCTTTTTGAGATAGAGATAGACAGGCAAACAGAGAGAGAGAGAGAGAGAGAGAGATGTCATTATTCACAAACAATTCATTCCCTGTGGGCACACATGCACAAAAAATGGGAACAAGAAATATAATAGGACGAATATTTTACTAAATTGATGTGAGATTTAGGCTGGATGTACTGTTTCAGGAAGCATTAAGGTATTTGTCGTGCAAGACCACTTTTGAAGATGAAGGTCCATCAGTTGTTGAGTTTCCGGATGACTGTACTGTTCGTGTCAATACTGGTGATGATAACGTCTCCAATCCAAAGAAGGATTTTGAGTTTGACAGGGTTTATGGTCCTCATGTTGCACAAGGTAGTGGACCTTATTACTAGCTTTTATTTGTTTTCGTCTAACACTCTGGAATGTTAAGTCACTGTGATGTTCCTTTCTGCAGCTGAACTTTTCGCTGATGTTCAGCCATTTGTGCAGTCGCATTTGATGGGTATAATGTTTCTATATTTGCTTATGGACAAACGCAGTCAGGAAAGACACATACTATGGTCTCTCTCTCTCTCTCTCTCTCTGTGTAGGGTATTGCAGTTATGTCTCACCCTGTGTTTTTTTTTTTTAAATCTCGGGTTAACGGGTTCTTCATCCATACATGGTACACATCATCATTAAATTGCTTTGACTTGTAAATAATTCTATAAGGACACTTTCTTGATTAAGCATACTGTTGTATGCTTATGTTGAACAAACATGACCGCATAAAGATGTTTGTAACCTGATGTTTTTGTGCTGAAAAGCACTACCTGGGGGGTTAATACTATGATGAACTGCTTTCTGATTGCAAGGTCTTGTCCGCAGGAAGGATCTAGCCATGATCGTGGCCTATATGCTCGATGCTTTGAGGAGCTGTTTGATTTATCCAACTCCGATACAACTTCTACCTCAAAATTTAATTTCTCTCTCACGGCTTTTGGGCTTTTCAATGAACAGGTTCCTTGACCATTCTGGATTGCTTATTTTAAGTATTGACTTCTATTTAGCAATACTTGACATTCAGCAACCATTATTCTGTAGATTAGAGATTTGCTTTTGGAATCTCGAGTGGTCTTCCAAAGATCCAGATGGGCTCCACAGATTATGTTGCTGAACTTGTGCAGGAAAAAGTTGAGAATCCAATTGATTTCACCCGAGTCCTCAAAGTGGCATTGCAGAACCGAGGAACCGATGTATTAAAGTTTAACGTCTCTCATCTGTATGGTCTAGCTTCAAATTTGTGATAGTTCTATTTCCCTACCAATGCATGCTCCTTTTATGGCTTGATTTTTTTACTCACCATGGTCTTCCCCTTGCTACCCTTTTTTTGAAAAAGAAAAAAAAATCAAAGATCATCTTGAATGATTTGTTAAAAGCCATCAATTCTCTTTTGGCATAAATTATGGAAATCCTGGAACGATTAGTGACCAATGATTAAATTGCACTTTAAGACGCTTTTGCTATTGAAGGAACAGCACAAAATTGATATGCTCCTCCAAGCCCTATCTATTACAAGCCAAGAGGTGTACACATACCCCATAAAGAACAACTTAATGAAAACAAAAGTAAATGACATAAATAAAAGGAATTAAGGAAAAGCTAGGAAAGCAAATTAGACATGCAAATCTCACTTACACATTGGATCACATAGGGAGACAAAAGGGAAAAAGAAATTATACCGCCCCCTTTGAATGGTGTCCAAATGAAAGAAAAATGGCTTCAAAACAATAAAAAGGTCACGGTACCTCAAATAGTAAAGTATAACAAAGTCACCAAAACTCTCCTAATTGCAATTTAAATGAAATCAAATAATACATAGTTTCCAATAAAGGGATCCACCAAAGACCCAATTGCAAGCATTAATCAACCATTCAAAGCCAATTGAAACATTTTAGAAACTTTGAAAGTCAAAGAGCAAGAAAAAGGCCAAAGCCTATTTATTTCAGAAAATTCAAGAAAATAGGCGAACACAAGCTCATTCGAACACAAAGTTCTTAAATTCTTGCATTAAGCACCACCTAAACAAATGAAAGCAAATGAGCAATCGAGTTGCAAAGTTGAGGCTACCAAGGACTCAATTGTGAACACTAACCAAGCACTCAAACCTAATCAAACACTTTTAGGAACTTCAAAGGTCCAAGGGCAAAGGAAAAGGCAAGTAACAATTCAAATTGCAATTATTCTAAAACCCATTTGCAAGAAACTAGAACATGCTTGGGCTTTTGTGGAACATGGAGAAACTTGAGGGATCGAATTGATTAAGTGTTCCAATTACTTGGGCCATAGTGAGTCAAGAGGGGACTTGGGGGGTTAAAGAGCAATTTTTAGCAATTATCCATGCATGCAACGAATGCAAACTCACGTGAGATAACATTCTGCAACAAACCCAACAAACAAAACTGCTGCACTTTGTTCCACTTTCCAACACTAATTTTGATCAAAAATCTTTCAACCAAACATTCAAAGCTAATCTAAACATCATAACACACAAATTCAGAATTCAAACAAACCCAAATATAGAAGAAAACTGATGCAAAGACACAAGGAAGCTCATGCATTCAGCAGATTCCAGCCACGGCATTTCTTTTCATTTTTACCATGCAAACCAGATTTTTGATTCAAACTCACAGCTTTGATTAGATATTCCTCATTTCAATATCACAACTTTACTGAGTAACAAACTACATGATGATCACAATCAAATGACCAGAAACTTGGAAAGATATAATACGCAAATTCTGGAAAAAGAATGCAGAAAAAGAGAAAACAAAAACTCTCTTATCATCTCATCAACATAGGCTGAATACCAGAATTTTGGCTTGGGCATGCATATGGTGTATGAACTGAGCAACAAACCACATCATTACCATCATCCAAGCAGGCAGAAAACTTAGAAGGAAAAAACATGCAAGTTCTATGCAATAGCCATGAAACAAGTTTCTGCAATTACTTCACATACTCTAGCAACCGAAGACTGCTGCACTTTCTTCTCAAGCTCAAGCTTCTTAATCACAACCGTGATCAAATTTTCCAAACCAACCAATTTCATTCAGACCCAACAAACAGAAAACTTAGCAACTTTATTCAGACAAACAGAAAAAATAGCAACTTCATTCAAACAGAAAAATTAGCAAAACATCAAAGGTTTGAAACTTCAGCAAACAAATCTTTTGAGCTTAGGCAGTTCGCATGGAAGCTGCACTCAAGCATTTCGAATCACAAACCCATGCTCAAAATCCTGTTAAGCTTCTCATGCATACAAACTACAACTTTCGGTCAAGGCTGGAATTACTATCTAACAAAAACAGCAAAGTTTGGAACCGCAATGGAAGAAAATAGCAAGACACAACCGTAAATTTCTGGTGCAGCAAAATGAATATGCATTTTCCAGCAGGTACTTGGTTGGTCTTAAATCCGAATTTACCTCGGTTAAATCATTGTGTTAAGTACCCAAAACTAACATGCAAGGCTACTTAATGAAATTACTATCATTTCTAGTTCAGATCAAGTTCGGACAGCAACTATAAACATCCACAAATCCAGAAATTCATTCGGCTATTCTCGGATGATCTTGCATGCAGCAGATTTTTTTTTTTGTTCATTTTTATTTCTTGCTTAACCGAGCTAATGAGCTGCATGCAAAGCTTAATCATCTTGTCTTAAGTTAGTTAATCACATTTATAAGCTCAGATTGCCTCAGAGAAACAAAATTAAAGCTGCATTATTCAAGTTAAGCTCTCGGCAGTTCCAAATTCTTATGCATAACAGATTTCTTTTTCTTCAAATCATCAAGTTTTCACTCGGCTAAATCACTAGATTATGCACTCAAAACCAACATGCATACCTAATAAATGGAATTGTTATCCATTCTAGTCCAAAACAGAGTCAAACACCAGCAACGTTCATAAAAAAAATCCAGAACCTGTTCAGCTAATTTTCGGACAACTTGCATGCAGCAGATTTTGTTTTCCCTTCAAATTCTGGCTTAAACACAGCTAATAAATCCCATACAAGTTTAATCATCCATCTACTAATTAGCTAATCATACAACTAAGCTCAGATCATCACAACTTAGCAAATTAAAACTGAGATTACCATCTCAAGCTCTCGGACAGTACCAATTTTTTTTCAATCAAATTTCTGGTAACTTAATCCTTTATCCAAACATACAACCCTCACATGCATGCCTCCAACAGCCTCAACTACCCAAAATCAACTAGTTCAAGTCTATATATTACCTCAACCTAGAGTTTACACACACGGCTGGCAGCAGAAATGGTTTTCCTCCCTTCAACAGCCCAGAAATTGCAGACCGCTATCTCTCTCTCTTTCCCTTGCTCTGGCTTGCGGCTGGATGAAAGAAATTTGGTCTCAAGCTCTTCACCAGCTCACGGATGGAAGGCAGAATGGGTCGCAAGTCACTCTCTTCCCTCTCTAAGTTACGGATAGGAAGAAAAGAAACAAGAAGCTCGGCTCCCTCTTGCTCACTCTTGTCGATGGAACCGAGGCTACAGCTCTCACTCCCTCCTGCTCTCGGTCCAAAGCAGAAACTGAAAAAATGTGTCGTGGAGTTTGGGTGCTTAGTGGTTGATATGAAGATGAATCACGGATGGAGGAGGTTGAGTGTTTTAGAGGGGAAAGGAAATGTGATCCGGCAGAAATGGAATTGTGATTTTTTGATTTTTTGATTTTTTGATTTTTTTT